CACACACACACACACACACACACACACACACACACACACACACACACACACACACACATGTAATCTATAACACACACACACACACACACACACACACACACACACACATGTTCTGCCTGCATTGTACACAACGTGGCCATTATACGACCATTGTACGTGTCCCTGAGCACTGGGAGTTGTGGGACAACAGCACCATGGCCCGTGTCATGACTGATGTTACAGATTTCTTGCATAACAATACTGTTTTGTTGCCACACCAAAACGTCCGCACACTTTGTTATGTCGAAGGTCATTCCACTGCCCCCGTGCTGCAGCAGGACAATCTCTCAACACTATGAGACCTTTTTGTGGATACAGATGTGACTATGTGCTAAAAGAAGGAAAAAAAGAGAAACTGCGAAAAGTGCCTCATACTGTCTGCTATTTTCTCAGTTTGCTCCACAAATTGCGCTCCGTCAACTGATAGATGTGACAATTTATATGAATCTGTGGCTGTTGTGCTGTCAGTGAATGCAGGTGGAGTATCTGCCTACGAAGCGCTCTATGGGAAAGTTCCTTTAACGAAAGAGAAAACTGCATCTCTGGGCAATAGTGAGAATGTTGGGATGCCAGATGTCACACGCTCATGGGGTAGCCTTCTATCAGGCCCATCCTACGCTCTTCCCTCACTTGTGCGAATCTGCCCTTCATTCATGGAGGCAATGTTAGAGAAGCGCAGCGCTTGATTCTTGACTTTTTTGTTTGTTTGTTTGTTTGTTTGTTTGTTAAGACCCCAGCTCGTCTCCTGGCCCATACCATTTTTTACGAGACTAGTGGATCTTAGGTTTTCTGTTGTCATCTTGGTTGTCTTTTCTGTTCTCTTTTTGCGGTTCGCCCCTTGAAAAGAATGCCAGGCGATATCCGGCCTGTCTTTTCTGCAGAGTTTGTCTGCAGTCGAGTATGTAGTCTTTCCTCTTTTGCGGCGTCGATGTCGATGCAGAGTGTTCTGCGTAGAAATGTCTGAATGTATGCTGAGTTTGTTGTGCGAGAGAGCAGAGCGATCGAGTAGTAGATTTGTGTCTATCGCACGTCGTTGTCCACTGAAAAGGCGTGTTGTCAGTGAGGTTTTCTTCATAGCTCAGGCCTCCTTCACGGTATGGTTAAGTTTTCTTCTTTTGTTCCAAAAAAAAAAAAAAAAAAAAAGATTTCTTCCAAGTTAGGTGTCAGGTAGACATCGATTGAATAGCTCTGGCTTCCTTCGTGGTTAAGTTTTCTTCTGAGATTGATCGAATAGCTCTGGCTTCCTTCGTGGTTAAGTTTTCTTCTGAGTTACGTGTTAGGTAGACTTGGATTTATTGAGGGCATGGTTATGCCACGGCATTTTGACAGAATCTGGCCATATTTTAGGGCGTTTGCACCCATGAAATCGTGTAGTATGAGCATGCCTTGGTGCAGTCGTTGTCATCTGGCTGGCATGCGAGAGAACCACGGCAGTGGAGATTTCCAATTGGAGCACATGTCGTTTGGATCACGTGTGGTGGTTAAGCGTCTGGTCTTCCGGCCTTTTGGCTGTTGCCTCTATATCGGTATCTTGATGGTGAAGCAAGCATTTGTCATGGGTTGTGAAACGCCTTCAGTCT